TCCGTTGCGCTTGCTCAAAGTAATCTGGAAAAAGTTGCCAACATTCTGCATATAGTACCTCCGGGTCCTCAGTCTCAACAGTTCCCTCATGAAGCCTAGACCACGCGTCTGGTAGCACGTTCTTATACCCGGGATGTGCGAGATAGTGAAATTGAAACCCCCACCTTCCGTTTTGCTCGGTTTGATACGTTTGCGTGATTTTCATATATATATATATTTATATATATATATATTATGCAGATTTTTATTATTTTTATAAATCTAGAGCAAATTGGAGTGATCAGTAATATATGCAGAAATTAACAGGTGCCCAGTTTATTTAGCTGATGAGCATTTTAATTTTAATTTTAACTTTTACTACAAGCGGCCGTTACTGGCGGCCTTACCCAGCATCTGGATGGGGCTCGTGGCAATAAAGTCACGGACCCGGTTAATCCAGGTGACGATGGGGGCTGCTAGCTGGTACGGTGTACGGTCATCTGCCGGTGTGAGGAAGACATCGTTGCAAGGTACAAAAAAATTAAATAGCTAGGTTCTAACTAGGACAGACTTCGAAATAAATTAAATGATAAACATAAACATACCAGTATTGGCCTAATACTGAAACTTGTATGTAGCGGATTTGGATACCCACTCGGGTAGTGTAAAATCGGCGGGTTCCTATAGTAGAAGCACATGTTAACGTATATCCTAAACGTATTAACGTTTAAACGTTATTACGGTTATCGTAGATAATTATATCTGTATAATAATCAAATAATATAATTATAGATATATTGAATTTACAGAAAACAAACAAACAAATAATCTAATTTGTACATTTGGAATTACAATTGTATACGACAGAGAAATGAGGCTCTGTTGATATTGATATGACGGTTTTTCTACATGTATATGTTTTCCATCACAATATTGGGATACAACACTTGGTGAGCCTCAGGTGATATTGACACTTGATGACACATGTTGTACTACCAAATACTCTCAGCGCGAGACAATCTACTGAGAAATGGGGCATGAATATGATCCCCCCTAGTCGGTCAACTAGATGTGCCCGTCTATGCCTTCAATGGGTTGGAGAGCTAGGTACCATGTGATGGGGTATAGGTACAGACATTTAACTGTACCAGCATGGTGTTTTTTATTTTTATTTTTATTTTTCTTAAGTTGGACTTAGAGTTATTTTATTGGTAATTGCGATTGGAAGGTAGTTTCGAGGCATGGGATGATATAGAATGAAATATTATACATCCAATGAAATGAAATCTGATCTTAGTTACTGACACCAAATAAATCTAGACCGAAGTTTTGAGTGATTAAAGTGGAGCCATAAAGACAATAGTCTCAGTCTTACATTCCCTAATCTTTAGCTCATTACCAAGGGCTGAAGCTAAACTTAAATTATATTATGCAAATTTACTTTGAAATCTTACTTTTCTTGTACGTTAACTTATTGAAACCGATAGTCAGCCTGGATAGTCTGACTTTTACAAATTTTTAAGTTTATACACTATCGGAAAAATATGACGAAGGATAAAGGAAAAGCGAAGGCATCAAAGAACCAGCCGAAGGTTATGCCTTTGGAACACTCTTTGACACCTGACCCACAAGCGGATGAAGCTGTGACGAGTATGATGGCACACGCTTTACCCGCGGATTCTTTTGATGAAGTTACAACGGGCAAGGCCAAGCCCAAGAAATCAAAGAAATCAAAGGAAAAGAAAAATACACCGATGGAGTCAGCTGACAAGATACCGAAGCACAGGCAGATAGGATCGGGACTGGGAGACCTAATACCACAAGGTAAAGGAGCCTCAAAATCTGAATCAGAACAAGGGTCAGACTCTGGAGGAGAAGATTCAGACGGCCGGGACACAGATGATTACCTGCGCGAATTGCAAAAGTTGGCGGCTGAATTCCAGGAATACAAAGACCGGAAGAAGACCGGCAAACGAAAATTTACGGTGGAAGAGAAGCCTAAGTGTACTAGCGGAGACGAGGATCAATCATCGCTGGAATTTGAAGAGCCAGACTCGTCAGGACCAGATCACTTGCCGCCATCGGCCAAGCAGTCGAAGACATCGACGACGATGACAACTCGTAAGAAAGCACGAAAGGATGACGGTGACGATGGAGACAATCAGTGGCTGCATGGATTGAAGGAGATGGACACGCAATTTGATGAGATTTTCGGAGAGTGACAAGAAAATTGCTGATTTTACTGCTCGAATGCTTAACGCAGAAGAGGAGGCGACGCTAGCAATGGATCAAGGAAAGGTAGAGCAAGCCAGGTTGAGAATGACAATGGCGAGGCACTTTCAATCCAAGATTGATACGGAGCTGCGCATAATACACGCCGAGAAGTCAGTGGACAGTAAGAAGGAAAGAATTTGGTCAAATTATGCTTACTGCAAATTTACGTAATAATCTATGGTTCGAGGCTGCGCAACAGAGTTTTAAGCCGTCATCTTATAAGTATGATAAGTTGGAGAAGGCTAAAACTGCTATAACAAAGCTAAAGACGTGGAAGGAACAGAGCGAGATGATATTCTATTTATTATCAACCGATCCAAGGCCGGAACTATTGGTATCGATAATGGTACCACCGGACGAAGGAACACCAGTGTCACATTATCTTCTAGAATTGGAAACTCACATAACACGTGCTCAAACACAAGAATTGTCACGAGACAAGTTGAATATGTGTGTGCTATGGGTACAAACTATTTTCTGGTCGGCTCTACATAGAAAAGACCAAGAAGTGTTGTACGCAGACATGCACCAATCTTTTCCAGACAAAGTACGTGAGATTTCAATTGAAGGGCCAACATACGGCATCATGAAACTCGCCGACTTGACTTGGACTGAATTTTATTCGAGAGCAGACCAGACGTTTTCGAAACGTTCGAGTTCTGTGGTGAAATTCACACCGTCTACTAAGAAGACGGTGCCCAACACGAATGGAGGACCAGGTAACGGTCGAGACTCTCAACAACGGGAACAAAGGTGGTGACCGAGGAGGCCATAAGAACAAGTAAGTGCAAGGTACTGATGGTCAAAAGAACAATGTCAACACTCGCGGGAACTTGGGCAATAGATCTAATCAGGCAGCTGATCCTCCTAAACCTAAGTATAAGGAGACCAAGGACTGTACTGAGACAGATTGCAGCTGGCGCATGGCCCAACATGAACCGAATGGACACTCGAATGGCAGGCACGTAGAAAAATGCAAACATTTTATCGTGAAGTGTGCAGACTGTGAAGGGACTGGAGGTTACCACAAGCACGTATGGAAGGTGCAACCTAAAGTAGAAGTTAAGTGACAATCATACCGGATCTTGGCACTGAAACAAAAGGATGCACCGTAAGATGAGCGCGTCATCCTGGATGTACGAGTTAATGGGCATAAAATAAAAGCGTTGTTGGATCCGGGCACGCAAAATTCATGTTTATCATCGAGTGTAAGATAACTGATATAACTCGTAAATCAGAACCTACTATGTTAAAATTGGCTGACGAAAGGGAGATTACGTGTCGTGACATGGCCGTAGATTTGAGGTTTACCCTAACAGATCAACGGACCACAGTGACAAAGGCAGTAGTCTGTAACAATTCGCCAGATTACGATTTAATAGTGGGGATGGGATATCTGTTATCGTTGGGTATAACAATTACCGGTTTGCCTACTAACATTGACCCTCAGAAGGATCAGTCAGATGACAAATTTCTGAAGCCTGTATACAAGCCTTCTAAGTATATGAAGGAAATGATACCCCAATTCACAGAGAAGCTAAAGGATCTTATCTTTGAGAACAACAAGATAAAGATCACCGATTAGATTTGACTAAAGTAGACTTTTCGAAGTTGAAATGTTCAACGCGAAATTACGTAGCGTGGCGTCACGAACAGGTGGTACGAGAACAAGTCAAGGCATGGTTGGATGATGGAGTAATCGCAGTCAACTACGAACCGACTCCTGTCAACCTAGCACTCTTGGCTGTAGACCAGTTCAACTCCGATGGTACGTTAAAGAAGGTTCGCGTGTGTTTGGATATGAGTCCTATAAACGCTCTTATACCCACACATAATTTCCATTTACCAAGAATCAATGAATTGCTGAGAAGAATGGAAGGTGTGAAAATATTTTTGACCATCGATTTGAAGCATGGTTACAACCAAATGAAGATATACAAACCACATCGGAAGTATTTCACCTTCACTTGGGATGGTCAGCAGTATTCTTTTAAAGGAGCCCCTTTTGGTTTGCATATGCTACCAGCCTTCCTTCATCAAATCATGCAAGACCTGCTTAGGGATATGGACAACGTACAGGTATATATCGATGACATTGTCGTGTTTACTAAAACTAAAGAGGAGCATGACAGGGCTGTAAGAGAGGTACTGGCAATGCTTAACAAACACAAGTTTAAGATCAACAGCGAGAAATGTCAATTCGGTGTGAATGAGATACAGCTGTTGGGTTATCGTGTATCTGGGGAAGGCATTATGATCGACCCCGGAAAAATAGAACACTTACTAGACTGGAGAACCCTCACTACAGGCAAGGGCGTGAACAGCATGTGCGGTTTCGTTGACTTCCTGTCAGACGGAGTTCCACACCTGGCAAGCTACTTGCAGCCTTTCGGACATCTAAGATGTCACAAGGGCAAATTAGGAGCATTGTGGACCAAAGACTGTGATGATGCCTTTAAGCAGCTCAAAACAGTGGTTCAACAAGCTCCAGTAATCCAGCCACCAAAAGATGGAGTACCCTTCATGGTGGCTACGGACGCATCAGACATGACGTTGGGAGGTGTTCTATAGCAAATGATTGACGGGAAACCGAGATACGTGCAGTGCTTTAGCAGAGCTATGAACTCCACAAATCAATTACCCGACTGTGCAGCAAGAGCTACTAGCTATTGTGACCGCACTCACTCATTTTAAGGACTACCTTTACGGTACACATTTTAATGTACTGCACTCACTCATTTTAAGGACTACCTTTACGGTACACATTTTAATGTACTGTGTGATCAGAAATCGTTGCAACATTTAAAAGACATGAACCCAAATTCACAATTGGTCAGTCGATGGCACGACACGATCGTAAAGTTTTCTTTTAGCATAACACATATACCGGGTATACACAATCATTTACCGGATATGCTGTCACGCTTCGTACCGGATTTCAACAAGATGGTTCGGTAATTGCTAGCTATGGATTGGAAGGCCAATCCTAGGTGGTTTAAAATTGCAGACAACATACATGGACCACATACCATCGATAGGTTTGCAGCACACCATAATGCGCAACTGCCGCGATACCGGACTCTGGAACATCCAGACGGTGATGGGTTTTAAATCGATTTATCCGATGAGAACGCATGGGCGAATCCACCGTGGTTGTTGATACCACAGTTGCTAAATTATGTTCATATACAAGATGCTACCATCACGTTGTGTTGTCCCCTAAGACATTCAGATAAATGGCTACCACAGTTGATATCGATGATACAATGTGAGCCCATATATATGGATAGAGAGGTAGATACTTTTCTCTACCAGGGTACCCGTGCAGTCCAGAAGACTCCTTGGCGACATACAATAGTATCTCGAATAGGTCCAGTTGGTACAACCAAATGGACACCATCCGAGACCTTCAAACGAAAGGTCGACGAATCCAAGATTCCACTCTTGACACCTAAGTCTCAAAGAGATGCTGTGGCGACACACGCACCTGCAGTATGCGTTACCGAGGTACAATCTGATCCTAAAGATGCAAAGAGGAACTCATCCCTAGCGAAGGCATTTTACAAAAAGATACGTTCTGACAGAGAAACTGCATACGAGGCTGAGACCAGGCTACTCAAACAGTCGATGAACGATTATCCAGATGTATACGACCATGTAACCCAACTAATGGACCAAGAGAACATTAGTAGAATTCACACGGCCGACCTTTCAGGCGAGATTGGACGAGACGAGTCTTCGAGTCCAGGTGATGTAGTAGTGGACTCCTCACCTCCAGATTTTGAGATAGCAAGGTCAGCGGAAGGTGACATTCTGAAGTGGTTGAGACAGAATCATGCACTTAAACACATGGATAAGGGTTGGACTGAGAAAGATTGCAAGAGGTACGACATTGCACACCTAAAGCTCAAGCAAATTATATCTCAGGTGTATCACGAATGCAACTACTGCGAAGTTAACCTGATCAAGCGCTGTGGATATGCCCCATTGCGGACGATCCATGGCGCAGGGTCATCATTGATTTGGTTGAGCTACCCATGTCCGAACACACGAAAGATAAGTATGTCTGCCACGTTTTTGATGTTGCTTCAAGATATAGTGTACTATATCCTCTGAAAGACAAATCAACATAAACGGTGGCTGAGTGCATTTATAAGTGTTTCGCAGATTTTGGCTGGCCAGCTATGGTATGTACCGACAACGGTAGTGAGTTTACAGGAGACGTCGTGACGACGCTGTTACTCGTTACGGGATCATGCCACAAAATGGATGTACCTTATAAGCCTCAGACACAAGGTGCATATGAGGTGCGACACAGAAAGATGAAGGAGTTCATGCGTGGAGCGTTGCTAGACGATGCTGACTTGTGGCCATATTCAATTAACTGGGTACAGACACAAATGAACGAGACACCGGATCCAGTCACTGGTACAACACCCGCCCACTATTTCAGGGGCCGTTATAGTGCCTTACAAATACTTTTCAACAAGGATTCTCAAGAAGATCATGTGTTACCATGGTTAGAAAAGATGCGTCGTACCAGAGACGTCGTCTTTCCTTGTTTGAGAGAGATGAAGGACATCGCGCTCAAGAAGAGACAAAAACGATAGAATGATTCGAAAAAGATAGTCGAGTTTGAGGTAGGCGATATAGTCAACATAATGGCTCGCAACTCTGATACAACTGTGCTTACGGCTATATACATTGGACCATTCAAGATTTCAGCGGCTGATAAGAAGAGTGGAACTTACGAAGTTAACAATGTTGACAGTTCAAGTGCTCTTAATATCGGATCACATCGAATTCCAACGACTGAAATCATCCTTCGTCGCACACGTGAAACTACTACACCTCTTATGTCTTATGATTTTAAGAAAGTTCTTGGGAAGTACAAACATGACGATATCACATACTATACCACGGAGTTTGCAGATGGCTTACAACCCGA